TTGGGGAGTGCGCGTAATACCGATAACTTCTTTGAAAAGATGCGCCGGACACTGTAGATGAACCAAAAAGCGAAATACAGCAATTCTTTAGTGGTACCAACGTTTTCTTAACTGGCGCCACGGGTATTGTAGGTCACGTATTAGTTGAAAAACTTCTTAGGTAAGTCAATTTTTATAATCATTTGTTGTTTCCTATCTGTTAACAAATTTTTAGCAAGAATCAATTTGCTTCAATCAAAAATTATAGGGGTCTTGGTAACATTATGAATGTAGGTTTTATATTGAGTCGGTAGTTTTTTAATTTTTATAATCATTTGTTGTTTCCTATCTGTTAACAAATTTTTAGGAAGAATCAATTTGCTTCAATCAAAAATTATAGGGGTCTTGGCAACATTATGGATCTAGTGTTTATATTGAATCGGTAATTTTTTAATTTTTCAAATAATTTTCATAATGGTTGGTAAAAATGTACAATTTAGCGACAATAAACGTTTCGTAATTTTCAATTTTTTTTTTCCTTTACGAATGTAAAGCGTAATGTAATAGATTTTAATTATCCGCTTTAATTTTAAATTTCAATGGAAATTGCATAAATACCGAATTTTTGCGTACTATTTTTCAAATTATGTAAACATAAATTTTTGGCCTAAACAGAATAATTGTGAATTTAAAGCGAGGTTCAAAAGTAAATGTAGCCTAATGAGGTAATTTTTTTTAAACAAGTATTTATCCGTTCAATTTTAGACGAAAATTAAAATAATCACGAACTTTCAACAAATAACCAACCGAATTTTTATCTGTACCAGTTCTAAATATATCAGAGAATACACCTTCAAAACACATAATTATACATTTATAGTTTATATTGGATTCGATTTATAATTTAATAAAACAATAATTATAATTTATTAATTTTTAGAACATGTTATATAAACAAACTTTACCTTTTGATCAGACCGAAGAAAAACAAAGAGCCCCAGAATCGATTGAACGAAATGTTTAGCGATTTGGTTAGTCACCCGAATTTTATAATACTTATTTTAAAAAAATAACAACAAAAATAATTTTGTCTTAATAATTAGCTGTTCAAACGACTAGCGGAAGACCAACCGAATTTCACTGAAAAAGTGGTAGTTATTGTTGGCGATTGCNGATCAGACCGAAGAAAAACAAAGAGCCCCAGAATCGATTGAACGAAATGTTTAGCGATACGGTTAGTCACCCGAATTTTACAATACTTATTTTAAATAATAACAATAAAAATAATATTGTCTTAATAATTAGCTGTTCAAACGACTGGCGGAAGACCAACCGAATTTCACTGAAAAAGTGGTAGTTATTGTTGGCGATTGCTATGATCCCAATTTAGGTCTATCGGCGGAAGACGAAGAATTATTGGTGGCCAACATACACGTTGTCATCCACTGCGCTGCAACGATTACTTTCAATGGACCACTTAAACGTGCGTGTTTCATCAACGTCAGATCCACCAGAGACCTACTGTTGATGGCGCAGCGTATGCCGAACTTAAAAGTAAGGGATATTATATATACATGTTATCGGCCATGTAATTTACTAATAGGTTTATTCAAAACTAATAATACAGATGAGTCGATAATTTATATTCATAACAATTTGATTGCCTATTATTTAATAGTCGTTTGTGTACGTTTCGACGGCGTTTTCCAACCCGAATGAATCATTGATCAAAGAGATCATCTATAATTGTCACATAAAAGCAGAAACGTTAATCGACATAGTCGAAAATCTGCCCGAATCGATTGTGACCTCGATAACGCCACAGTAAGTGTTATAGACTTATTAATAATCGGTATGTAATTTGACGTTAATCGTTTAATCCATGCAAAGGATTATAGGAAAATGGCCTAATACGTATACGCTGTCAAAAGCCGTTGCGGAGAACCTCATCAAAGACTACGGCAAAAACATGCCGATAAGTATTTCAAGACCTTGTGTCGGTAATAATATTGATATTATTGATATTTTTAAAACATAGAAATAATTTTAAAAAATAATATGGGTGATCAATTACTAATTAAAAAGTTTAAATAAGGTTCATTGTCGTTTAAATCAAAAGGGTTAGTGTAAAGTTGATTTTTTTTAGATTCTAAACAAAGTGTGGAAAATAACTATGTGTACTTTTTTTTCTATCTGTATGTAAACAATTAATTATTGCGGTCACCTTGCTTCAATCGGTAACTTTGGCAGTGATTTTGAGTTATAAACTTTGTTCAGTTTATTCACTTTTTTTAATATTTTTTTAGCGGTTTTCTTAATAATGGAGGAAACCGCTAAAACGTAAAGAAAACGAAAATATACATTAATTAACGCCTTCTGTTATTTTAGTTTTTTTTATTTGTTGTAATAATTCGGTTTAAAATTATCGTATATATTTCCAATGTTTAAAGAATATTGAGCCTCTTTTAAACAGGAAACAATTTTCCTAAACAATCTGGCGATTTTTGAGCTATTTACAACTATGTGACATTTTGAAGTTTTCAGTTTTATTCGGACAAAATTGTTATGTCTAAAACATTAACATGTTCATCACTTGAGAGGTAAAAACCCAGGCCAGTATCAATGCTATATTATTATTTA